ATTAAAGCCATTTGGGGACTCGTGTGGGAGAGGGACATTCCTGAGTTTGGGAGCTGATGACAGTGAGTCTGGAAGACTTCATTTCCATCTGAGCAAGGCAGTTTTCCCTTCTTGCCAGGACTGGAGTATTTTGGCAGGATGGGGGAACCTGCAGAGCTGACTCTGATGTTCTGCAGATAAGCAAGAGAAACGAGCGTTTTTCTGGTAAATGTTCTGGTTCTTCTTATATATGGAAACTTGACTTATAGGATATTTTTAGGATGTGTTTAGGATGTCTTTCACACCTTGCCTTCCTCAGGAAACACTGGAAGGAACCTCAACATCTTACCTCTGTAAAACCACCTTTACTCTCTGTGTCATTGTTGGTAATGATTGTGTGGCTGCCACTTACCAACCAGTTCTGGGTGAAATGCTCCAGAACTGTCAGCATTACTGCTGTGCACAAAAGATGCTTCCATGAAACCAACCCAGTAATTTCCATGGAACTGCAGTAAAATGCCTTTTGTAGCTAATTATCTGCTTAGTTAACATAGTAATACACGAGTCTGTGAAAGCCTCAATAGATTAAACAAAGTGAAAGTTTCTTGTAAAAGGCATTGATTATTTTATATGCTAATCACTGATAATTATTTCACAGTGCTTGCAGGGATGATTGTTCTCATAGCAGCTGAGATCCTCAGACAGATTGGAGTGTCTTTCTGTCAAGACCCATTTCCCAATCCATTTGCAAGTTCTGGCCTTCTGTGTAGCCTCTGTAATGGGATTGAGTTCCCAAATTCAGAAAAGGCGAGTTATTTCTATAGCAGATCCCAGACTATCCATGTATTCCAGCTCACTTTCCTGTCGGAGCTGTGGTGCTTTGGCACAAGGGTTTGGTGAGATTTTCTGCTGAGCCAGTCAAGCTGGTGTTGTCCAGAGGGATCAGTATTGGGTGACCCAGGACAGCTGCTGTTCCAGGCCTCCAGTGAGCACTCTGTGTATGTGAAGGTAGAAGAGAATCTGGGATATCTTTTAGCATCAGAAATTCCCTTTGTTCCTTGTGGGAAGGTATCTTGTAATCCCAGACTGCTGGCCTTGAAAACATGGGAGAGAGTTAAATCACAAGGAATTTAACTTTTCTCTCCATTTTGCAAATTCCCAGGTAGAAAGGAGCAGGCAGGAGTGAGGGAGCCCAGCTGCTGGTGCACAGGGCAGCTGGAAGCAGCTGGGCATGGGAGAAGCTGTGTGGTGGGTCCCTGTGAAAAGCACACTTGTTCCTGAAAAGAAATGTAAATTTCCAGAATAAGCGCCCTGGGAATAGAGAGAAACAAGTGTTTCTGTGTAAGAGGAGGCAAACTCTGTGGGGAATGTTCTCAATCAAATACAGGCAAGCCAGGAAATTCCCAGTGCAGCCCTCCATGACATTCATTGCCAGCGGTGCTTTAGGCTAAAGGCAAGGTCTGGAGAGAAAACATTGTGGATGAGCCAAAGTATTGGGGCTTTTACATGGTAAAGAGGAAGATTTAGGTTCCTCTGCATCTCCAAGGACTTTCTTGGCTGCTCAAGGACATCCACATCAGTGGTTTATTTTTTCCTGTGTTTTCAGAGGTGTTCTCTCTTACCTGTCGTTCTGGCTTTTGCTTTTTGTTTCAGCTGTGGGAGCTGAGTGCCTCAGTGTGAAGGAGGGCTGGGAAGGATTGCAGTTGTCTTTGGTCATTAAAATAGTTGTAGGGTTTTTTTCCCCGCCTGCAGCCTGTGACCCAGAGTGGTATTTTACACTTCACTGCCTGCTCCCTGCTGCCTTCCATGAGCATCAACAGCTCCAGCCCTGACCCCTGTATATTCCTTCCATGGATTTGTAATGTTCCCTATTACCTGTAGCCAGCTGCCTGGACTAATTACACAGCCCTTTACAACCCCCCAGGGCAGGCAGAGTTGGTATCTGTGCATTGCAGTGTATAAATCAAGTTTGTATTTCTTCACCTTTTTTCATGGTCTAGTCTTTCCTCATTTCCTTTTAGTGAGGCCATGGAGAACAGGCAGCACATTGTGCTATCACTGTTGCCAATGTTTAATTGTGTTTGCCTTTATGGTGTCAGTCATTGCCTTGAAAACTCTGTAAAGACACCTTCAAGTTCACATCATCAGGGAAGAAGGATGTGGAACTCCTTCCAAGAAGAAGGGCAAGAAAAATGCATTTGAAGCAATGCAAATAAAGCCAAACACACCTGAAAATGTCAAAGGTGAAGTTAAAAGTTACAGTTCCAAAGGATGATCCTTTGGGACTGCAGTTTGCAGTGGACAAACAGAGCTGGTGAATTACAATTAGAAACGTTTTCTTGAAATACTTTGAAGCTCTGTTTCTTTCTGCACTCTAACTTTTCTGTGTGCAGTATTTACCACTAAGAGAGGGGAAAGATTTCTTACTGTATCAGTCTTCTGATTCCTTTGGTCAAAGTGGAAAAGTTAAATGGAAAACACAACAGAAAAGACAATGTCCACTTGCCGGTGTTCTGTTGCATTCACTGATAACAAAGGGGTAACAAGGCAGAGATTTAATATTTCAGTGTAATGTGAGTAAAATTGCCATGCATTTTCTGCCTAAAAAGTAAGAACATTCTTATGCACTTTTTGGCGTAAAAGAACTAGTTTTGCAAACTACTAAGTTTGCAAATTAAGAAACATTACATCATGGGACTGTATTATTAAGAAACATTACATCATGGGACTATGGTTTTAAACTGAAAGAAGTCAGGTTTAGATTAGGTGTTAGGAAGAAATTCTTCTCTGTGAGGGTGGGGAGGCCCTGACACAGGTTGCCCAGAGAAGCTGTGGCTGCCCCATCCCTGGAAGTGTTCAAGGCCAAGTTGGACAGGGCTTGGAGCAACCTGGGATAGTGGAAGGTGTCCCTGCCCATGGCAGAGGGTTGGAACTGAGTGATCTTCAAGGTCCCTTCCAACCCAAACCAGTCTGTGATTCTACGATCTTAAAATAAAATCAGCTTTACTTATTGTGTAGCCTCTTCCCAAGTACTCGCTCAAAGCTGTTTCAGCCCCCCCAGATACTCCCTGTCACTTTGGGCTCACCTGCAAGGACTGCACCTCTTTCTAATCTGAATTTTATAAAGGCCACAATTCTTGTTGATGCCTGTCTAAAAATAAGTGTTGGACTTGTAGCTATTTGTAGAATTATTATTTTAAACTCTGCTTCCATGTGTAAGTTACCACCAGAATGATGGGCAACTCGTGTATTTTTCCTCTTAAAGCAAATGCCCTTAAAAGGCTGCCTTAAACTGAAAAATAGCTGTGTGTTCTCTAAATGGGATAGATCAAGCAGTGTAGGATTAAAAAATCAACCTCATTGTTTTGCTTTGGACAGAAACTTGCAGCAAACCCCATTTGTCAGCCTTCTGTGGTTTGTTATAATACACTGGACTGTGCAAGGTGCCAAATCAATGCACAGTCTCTATAGAAGTGTTTCTACTTGGTTAACCAGGTTAAACCACTTAGCTCTTATTTTATTATCTCATTAGCAATCCAAACCCCATGTTTTAGGGTTCCAAGTTGATGTAGTTCCGTGGGCAGCCCTTGGAAATTGCCAGAATCCCCTGGGGTCCAGTAATTCTAATTGAAGTTGGCACAAATTTGAAATGCAGGCAGCGATAAGCTGTTGTGAGTCTTGGAGCATCGTGGAGCAAAATGGGAAATGCTTATTATATGAGGTTATTTGAGCAGATTTAACCATTTTAGGGCAAAGATAGGTTTGCTAGGGAGCTAAAATACGGGTCCACGTGATGATGAGTGTTCCCTTACAAATTAGTATGAGATGTAAGTGTAATTGCACTTCAACTTGGGGTGTTTTGCTGGAGACCTTTTCTGCTGCTCATGGAAATGATCACCTGAGTCCTTTCAGTGTTCAGTTTTCTGTGAAATTAGACTATAGAATTTTCTCAATATAGGCTTGGCCCAGCTCACTGCAGACAAGAGCAGACCCCAACCATTGTTGCCACTCCTTCTCCACTCTGTTCCTTGGTCTTTGTCTCCAGTTTTCCTGTTGATGTAGGCCTGGTGTGATAGACCCTCCCACCAGCCCTCCTCCCTTCCTCATGGGGATGATGCTTATTGCTAATGGCCTGTTTATGTCTTCTGCTTTTAGAGATTTACGCTTCAACCACATCAAGGAGATACAACCTGGAGCCTTCAGAAGACTGAAGAACCTCAACACACTGTAAGTTCCACTCTGAGGATGTCCATTGTGTTGGTACTGTCACCTGTAGCAATTTAAAGGTGCCCTTGGGCTTTTAGTTATTTCAATCAAATTGTGCATATCCAGCTAAAGCTTTAAAATTCTCTCTGTCCTACTCTGGATCATGTTTCTTAGATTTTTTAATTAAACATGCCATTTAATAACCTTCATTTTTCACAATTAACCTCTCTTTTAATTAAAAAGCCGATGCATCCCAGTACTGACTGAGGATGTTTGGGCAGGTATGGCCTTAGAATAGCCCATAGAAGAAGCTCTGGCCTGGAAGCAAAATAGTGAAGGGATTTATTAAAAGCTTCCTCTTTCCTGTGGCCTATTTGAATGCAGGAACCACATGAGTTGCTCTATGTAAGTTTGATTGAAGTGAGAAAGCATCTTTTAAATGCCACCTTGTCCCTATGCCTTGCCCTGGAATAGATGCCTACACCTGCCCTACTCCAGGAAAGAATGGGAGTAGAAAGCAGTTCCTCCAGTCTTTCATCCCTCCCTCACATTGATGTACTACTGTACTAAAGAGCTTTTCACTCTTCTCAAAGGAAATCATGGGAGCCTTTGCTTGTTCTTGCTGCTGCAGGGTTTGAAGGCAGATCTGAGTAAATCTGCACCCTGTAGCCAAGAAGCTGAAAACACACCAGCTCCTAAATCAGAACCAGAAGCTGTGTCAGCACAGAACTGTGCTGGATGTAATTGGACTGTTGAGACTCAGATCCAATTATCTGAGCTGTAACACAGTGCTAACAGCCATAGGATTTCCAGGTCCAAGCTGGAATTCCTCAGTGAGGCAAACCAGCTTGTTTGGGAACCTGCACTGCACGACAGACATTTGTACATTCATGGTCCCAAACGGTAAGAGAAAGTCCAGGTTGTTTTTTTTCTGTCATACCTTGAGTGATCTGAAATCCCTGATCCTGTGGCAGTACCAGAGCTGAAGGAAGGAAGACCTGGGCAAAAAGGCAGTCAGTTGTTAAGTAGTTAATTGTAAGTAGTTTAGGAAGAGTGGGAATACAACAGGACTTTATCATAGAGACCTGTTCAATAGTTATCTTTTAAAAATCAAAATTTGCTAAAGATTGTTCCACTCTGTGTGTGGGACTGATTGGCCAAGTCATGACTGCAGGATGCTTCAAAGTACCCTGATTGTGGCCCAGGCCCCTGCTCATAGGACAGGTGGTCCACTAGTAGGCTGGTCAAAAACTTTATTACCAGTGATGCTGTTCGTCCAGAGCACCAGAACAGCCCATATTAGTCTCTCAAACAGCACCACGTGGTACTTAATTGCCAAAAATAATAGAGGGAAAGGATGCTTTGGGTGGATTTCTGTCATTTGAGATGGGGTCAGACAGGGTGATGAATGAGACTAAAATATGTAGAGAGAAAGTAGAGTCTGAGTCCATAGGGTTTTACCTTATCACAAAGCTCTCCTGAGGTCTCTTGATCTCCAGCCCTGCTCTTCCACCCCTGAAGCTCTCCTGAGTCGAGGAAACAAGTGGTTCCAGATGATGTCATCCCTGTGTGATCCAGGCAGATGTTTGGCAGGCAGCTTGCAGGACCACCAGGCGAGTTTCAGCTGAACCCTGGGGAAAATAAGGATGCTGGCAGGGCTTCACTTGGAGAGATGCTCCACCCAACCTGCCGAGCTTTGTGAGAGATCCCAGTTCCTGCCCTGCCTTGGGCTGGGCAGGTCTCTGGCACGTGCAAGACTTCTGCTTCTGTCTTTCTGACTCCTGACACTCTGCATAAAGCCAGATATAGATACACAACCTGATGGAGGAGGAAAGACCTATCTCTCTGTTTATGCTCCATGAATTTGTCCAGTTCTTTTTCCTTTCTACATCCACACTCTCCTAGACAGGGACCTCAAGGACAGCAAGTCCATGAACAGGTACTAAAGGCAGTTATGTACCCCCTAACATCCCTGATCTCATGATTTCAGATACCAGAACAATGTGTTTTCACAGATGGTGGGCAGACACTCCTGCTTTTCCTAAATACTGTCCTATGGCCATCGTCAGAGCTGGAATACTGGCCTAGGTGAAATGCTGCTCTGACAAAATACTGCATTTTTATATTTGAATTCTGAAAATCAACTGGATGTGTAATGGAAACATTTCCATTTAGATAGTGTTTCCTATGCTTAGTTGTATTTCCTGGTCTGGCCAGCACACTGGAAAAATCAGTTATTCTCACACTCGTAGCATTTAACTCCCAGGATGAGGAGCTCGATAACTGAATGGGAGAACATCAGACCTCACACCCCTGAAGCAAATTTCTCTCCAGGAACTTTGGTTTGGCCAATTCCCACATCAAAACTGATGAGACTGGAAGGATCTGCTGATGCTGCTTAGATGGCAAACTTTTGCCTGAGGACTTAGACAGGTCTTCAAGTGATAAAGAGAATAAATCATTTAAAATCCCTGAGAGACTTCCTGGGAAAGTTTGTCCAGAAAATTCGAAGTGGGATCTTTGGAGGATAGAGTAGTTCAGGTTCTACGTGCAGAGCTCTGAGCTTGCATCTTTCTGCCATGGGACTTAAATGTTCCATAAGCAAATAAATGTATCTTGAAGAGCCTTTTCTTACAAAGGCAGAGGAAGGGCAGCAGATTCTGGTGAAGCTTCTGTTCTGCATCTCCTTTTGGGCAGGATGGCTGTACTATATCCAAGTCTGACAGTTTGTAATCCACCCTGATAAGGAAGCCTTTGTAGCCTGCATTGGATGCAGGGAGGTGAGCTGGGAGCCTGTGTGGGTGTCCAGTGGGGCTGTTCAACAGTTCAAACCTTCCTCTGGCTCCTCTCTGCTTTTCCCTGGTGTGGGAGATTTGATAAATCACAGAGCACTACTTTAACATTAAAAACAGAAACCCTCTTTGTGGAAGAGATACAGTCACTGTGTGTTTCTGGCTGGGGACTCCTGGTACCAGCACCACAGGTTATCCTAAATCCTGCACCACTTGGAGATTCCTTGTTGGCTCTCTGCAATGTTGTGTGCACTGGAGAAGTCCTCTTGGGCTAAATGTCTTAGAGAGTTGTAAGATTTCCTCATCCCTTCCTATTGCCTCTGCTCAGTTCCTGTGCAGGTGTTGCTGAGGATCTCCTTGTGTATTTTTAAACTCTTAACATGTCCCCTTGGTAAAAGAGAAAAAAAAAAGGTAGAAGGGAGAGAGAGGCAAAAAAACCTCTTGTATGCCATCCACAAAATACCACAGCTCCTGGACAGCTGTTTTGCTGGAGTTTGCCAGCACTCTCTGCATCACTGAAGCCAACATTAGCTCAGAGCAGGTGTTGGGCTGTGGAAGAAAGAGAGCAAACATGCTACGAGCTCATGGTGAGGCACAGCCCCTCATTGCTTTCCAGTTTTTGCTCCTTTAGGTCATCTTTGGGTGGGGATGGATGATGACACCCCTGTGTAGCTGGTCCTTACACGCTCCCACAGGAGTCAGAACTCTGCCGTGTTGACCCAGTTGGTCCATCTCTGTATTTTCAAACCAAGACCATCACAGCCAAATAGTTGCTGCTGCTTGGGTCTCTCCAGCATCATCTTTAGAAACATCCAACCTAGTGACTAAAGCAGTAATTCTTAACTTCCCCAGCATGTATTTTGTTCTGCCTGAGGCACAGGCACCCAGGAGAACAGGGACCCTGTGGAGACCACGCTGTGTGTGCCTCTGCCTGGCCCTTTGTCCTGTCAGTGCCATTGCTCACATCACATTTCTCTTGCTGCTTGGGTGAGAGCAAAGGGCATTTTTGGCAAGCCCTGCAGCTCTGCTCTAGATGCCTGTGAAGGGTCTCAGGACGAACAACAGCAGTAACGTGGAGTGTCTGTGTTTTACCCTCTAGTAGCTCTTGAGAGAACGTGCTCCTGACAGCAAGGAGGGGATGTCAGAGTCTGCTTGGATCTCAGAATAAAAGTTCCTTCCTCAAATATGGGAAATGGCTATTCCAGATCATTCTGTCAACAAGGGAGAATGCACAGTTGAACATAAAACTCACTTTTTTCTCCCGCTTTAAATGCACTACATGATGATTTCTGTTAATGGTGTGAGGAAAAAAAATAGCTGTTATGTCACAATGACTGTAGCATGTGTTTTGTCACACAAAAAGAGGAAAGAGTACATGGTTTGAGTCTGAATTCTGTACTGTCACATCATTTAATACATTCTTCAAAAAACAGAAAACTACTCATTTAATGCAAGTTAAGCCTGTGCTTGGCAATCTAGAGAGAGGGTGGGGAAGAAGGAAGAGGCAGTCAGGACATAAAACCTAAAGGAAGCTGAATGTAAAATATTCTTTCTGGTGATCTGGGCCAGATCTCGTGGTGCTTGTATATCTCAAACATCCCAGAAGATTTTTTCAGGAATAAAACCTGTGTGATTAAGTACACCTACTTATTTGGAGCCCAATTCACCATCTGGCACGAAGGGAAATGCCACATCATTTTGCTAGGAAATGTGCTTCTGATACTTTTAATTTAACCTGTTTTGCTACAGGGTGTGCTTAAAATAATGATAATGATATTTCCAGCCTCTGTCTGCCAGAGCATTTATTCCCAGCAGATCTGGTTAGCAGTAGTGCTTCCAATCCTGTAAGGTTAGCAGGAATTTGGGCATTTTTGCTGTGGATTGCAGCTGGGATCCATAGCCAGGTCATGCCAGGATTTTGCACATTTCTCTGCCTGGATGAATTGCACAGGAGTCAAGGAGCAGACAGCTGTGCAGAAGCCATCCAAAGTCTTTCTAGGAGCCAGATGTGCTGTGTTGTCTATGGATTTCTCTGAAAGCAGCATTTTGGAATATGTGGACTGTGATGGACTTCATGAATTATCTCACTTTCTAATGTTTTCCAGGACTTATCCTTCCATTACAATGGGGAATCCTGACACAGGAAGCAGAGATGGCTTCTTCCATGCTCTTTTTATTCTTTAGTCAGGCAATGAACAAATTTCTAAGTATCAGACGATGAGATAAGAGGCCTGTGGACTGCTTGCCATCTGAACTTCCAGAATTCATCTTATTTGGCTGCATCGCTGATTACACTCTCTTGCACTGTCCAAAACAGCCAAGACAACAAAACAGACTAGGTTAATGCTTTTAAATAGCCCCAAAATGCAGTCAGACAGCATGTTGCAATTTGAAATCCCGGTGGACATCAGTTCTGGCCTGAGCTCCTTGCACAAAAGATAATGGTGAGAAAAGGAGTCCAGACCACGGTGGTGTGTGGGGCTGCTCAGGCTGTTGGTGTGACCCTGCTCCAGGACCTGCTCACCTGGTCACTGTGTCCTGTCCCTCGTGAGGGGAGCGGCCGATGCCGGTTGCGTGGCAGGATCCAGGTGCTCACATCCATGGGAATGACATTGGTGCTGGCACTCACCTGTCAGCCCATCATGCCCTCAGAAGTGGGGCCAAGGATCAGATAACAGAGAACAAGCTGCCTTTGTCCTGCCCTGGCAAAAGATGAAAGTGTGCTGATAGAACCAAGGAAGGAAGCCGGCGCGGCTGGGCCCTGTGTTGTCTTTGTGCCGTGGGTAAATAGATAAAAGCCCTCTCCTGCACTGCTCTCAGGCAGTTACTTCCAGTGCTTGGGTGTTCAGTCACCAAACAGACCTTTGGGTTGGTGTTCAGAGACTGTATTTCCACTCAGCAGAACTGGCTGTCAAAGCAGGATCGTGTGTTCCAAGGACTTGACATCATTTTTGCTTCCTTATGAGGGAAATAAGGCTGTTTGACCTCAGCCATGTGTATTGAGCCATTGCTCCCACCTGTGCAGGAACTCTCCAGCAACTTTCTGCCTTAACCTCTTCAGGCTGCTTGTCCCCAACCCGGTGATGTGCAGTTTGGGAGTGGCACCCACATCCACGGCATCTGGGCAGCTGATCAAGGGAGGGCAGTCAAATCGAGAATGATGAGGTTTTTCTCAAACCCTTATTATCTGATTTCCAAAGTTCTGTGCACTTGAGTTTATCACGTGCTTTTTGGGCCCTTAATGTAATTCTCCACCTGAGAACAAGCTGGTAGAAAGCTGGTGTGACTCAGGTGCCTGGTGGGAACTTGTGAACCTGCCATCACACATGTGTATTTCTGTCATCTTTTATCTTTTCTGTCATCCCTGAGGTGTTTGATTTTATCCTCATCTTCTTTTCCCACATGCTTTCTACCATTTCTCCCCATCTCTTTGTCTTTTCTCTCCATCATTTACCTGCATGAACTGGTTTTCCCAGGTGGAGACCTTGGCTAGTAATGACAGAGGCTGGCTGCTCTATTTTCTCTGGAAAAGTGGGACAGAAGATTAGGCTTTACTGCTGGGAAAGTGCTGAACTGTCTTCTCAACTGCTGCCTGGTGGCAGGTCGTTCCTGAGGAGCAGAATTATCACAAAAATCAGCTTGTAAAATAGAAAATGCACATTTAGTGCATGTATTAAATTTGACCCAGCGTTGTGAGGTCTGGCTGCTTGCAGAGGGAATTGCACTTTTTCCTACAATGGTAGAAAAAGAAATCTTTGCAGCACACGGTCACATCTCTCCATCCACAACTCCATTTAGGAATTTTAAAAATTAGTGTAGCTGATAAAATCCTTGCTCTGGGCTATTCAGCTCTAAACTCCACCAGCTCTGAGCTTCACCAGATCTGCAATCAGTGGGATACCGCAGCGACAGACCCACAGGAGTGCGGTTGGGCAGCCACGATGAATAGCTAAATTCATATATTAAAGAGCTATTTATAAGTGATTTATTGTCTTTGCTCGGTGTTGGGCTTGGCAGTGGCTGCAGAAGAGGTTTTTGTAGCGTTCAGCTGTGTGGTTACCACTGCTGCACAGCGTGGTTCTTACAGGGCTGAGCTGTTTCTGGTCCTTGGCACCGGCCATCATTTGCATGCACAGTCATGGCAACTGCACATACAAGTCAGAGATTGCTTTCCAGTGTGATGTGGTCCATAGGTTTTTTATTAAAATCTGGCACAAGGCTCCCTAGATCGAAAGAGGCTGTCTCTGAGTAGCCTCAGGAGTCAGAACTGAATTTATTTCTTTCTCATTTGCAGATATTGGTTTACCAAGTGATTAGAACAAAGCTGTTACCATTTTATAGCTCCTATAACTCCACTGTGAGCTGATGCTTTAAACTACATTTGTACTCTTAAAAAAACTGTCTCTGCACTCCCCTGCTCCCAGGTTGAACACAACCAGGCACCTCCAAAAACCAATGTGGTTGTACAAGAGTGGCGGCAATGATTTAATATCCCCCTCCCTTCTGCCTCCTTCTGCCTGTCTCCCTTCCCCTCATCCCTTTCCTGGCCAAAATTGTAACTTGGGGCTGAAAACCACTGTGGCAAAAAGTGGTTTGAACAAAAAGCCTGTGGCAAAAGACTTTGAACACTGTACATATTGGAAGCACTTGGCACCTCTGGGTAAGAAACCTTCTCATTGATTTGGCTGGTGTGAATACACAAACTTTGATCTGCTAACCCTTTAAACCTTAAATTCTCTGACAAGCAAGCTCAGGAATTTTCAGTGGGCATCCGAGAACAGAAAAGCCACAAATCTCACATGTGCTCGATTCACCACTTGTATTTTTCTCTCTTGATTTGAACAGGCTGCTGAACAATAATCAGATAAAACAAATCGTGAGAAGATCCTTTGAAGATCTGGAGAACCTGAAATACCTGTGAGTTGGTAGCTCAGTATTTTCTTAACCACTTTAAAATTTACCAGCCCGCTTGTAATGTTTGCCAGCCAAGGACATATTTTTTTGTGTTTGGAGTTCCTGGATGTTAATGTCAGTGTCAGAGGTATGAAACGTTGCCCTTGAATCCAACCAACAAACTCTGCTTCGACTTGAGGTTCATTATTGTTTCCTTTGTATTTTTAGAACACAGCTGCTGATGAGTTGGCCTAATACTTTTTCCTTTCTCTCCTTTTGAAAGCTACCTTTATAAAAACGAAATTCAGAGCATCCAGCAACATGCCTTCCACGGGCTCCATTCCCTGGAACAGCTGTAAGTACAGATGAGCCTTGCTTGCTGTGTTTCCAGATGTGGAGAGTACCAGGCACTTTAGCAAGGGGTAGGATGAAGCTTCTGTTTGATCAGCCAGATTTGCCAGACTACACTGGGTTAATCTGAAAACAGTTGGTCCCAGCACTGATTTTGGTTAGTAAATACTGAGGTCTCTTCCTGTAGGTTTTTTCCTGATCCTAAACCTCTGGAGCATAGGAAGAACCAGGTGTGCTTCTGATGCCCTTTATGTCCAAGGACCTTATGATGGGAAGAGACAGGGATCTGCAGGATGTCTTGAAGCAGCAGGCAGCTGGCCTGCTGGGTTTGTTCTGCTGGGACTCCAGGAGCAGAGGGCTGGATCTGGCCCTTTACTTGAATTGAGGGGCTGCTTGAGTTTCTCTCTTACCCAAAGCTGTGCTGGGAAGGAATGGATGAAGTGCTGGGGCAGACAGGTATTTGTGGGAGCTACCAGGATGGTGATGCTCATACGCTGTAAAGCATCTGGAAATTGCAATGGGGGAAAATGATAGATCCAAACAAAAGAAGTGATGGCCTTCCAACCTGGCCCTGAACATTTCCAGGGATGGGGCAGCCACAGCTTCTGTTGGCAACCTGTGCCAGGGCCTCACCACCCTCACAGGGAAGAATTTCTTCTTTATTATTTATTCTTCCTAAATATTTTAATTATAGGAATTATTTGCCTCACTGAAGAAGAGAAACTAAAGGTGAAATCATTCTGATTTGTGCATTGTCCCCAACAGCAATGTTTATAGGGCTGGAATATAAGTAAAGATTTTGCTGTAAAAGGGATAGGATCCAGCTTGTTCTCCATGCTGACAGCAGAAGTGGAAATGGGAAGTGTCAGGCAAGCCTAACAATAGGTGTGTGTGTGTGTGTGTGTAAAATATGGTTTTTCATCAGCCAACTGAGCAAGGATGCCTGGGAGAAAATATAGGAAGCCAAAACTGGCTCTAAGCTGAGCTTAGAGAGCTGGTGCTGGCAGCAGGGGTATTTCAACAATGAGCATTCCAGACTTGGTGTCACGAATAAAAGAAAAAAAACCAAAACCAAGCAAACCACAAAACCAACAAACAACCCTCTGAAAGCCCCATCTGTTTTCAATCTCGGGCGGGCATAGTTCCAGAAGAATTAGCTTTGCTCAAATCCTACCCCATTTTCCTGTCACCCCCAAGCCAGCTTTTCAAGAAAAAGTACAGCTCGATTGATGGGCAGTATCAGATGGTTTCCTCAAGGTCCAAAGCAATTTCAGCAGACATCTGAGCCTGATTAGAGCACGCACATCTCTTCCCCACTGTGACCCTCCAGTGCAGAATCTGAGTCACCGTCTCCCAGTTTGCGCTCTGATACTGGACCATTTATCATGAATCCTTCCATTACAAATCAAACAGCCATGTGGAGGCTTAGGCAATTATTTCTCAATGCAATCAGCTACAATAGCAGAATGAGTATTTGTAGATCTGTGATTAATCTGTGTCTGCTGTGAAATTTATGCCTGTGTAAAATAAGAGGGAAGAGTTTAGGCAGCTTTGGAACCATAAGAAATGCATCTAAAGGTCAGGAACATGTCAGTTGTGGTGGTGAATGTCACAGCTCATGAGAACAGGCAGTGCCAGGTATTGTGAGTTGCTCTGCAGACCCCAGGTTTGCTTTGCTGATGACAAGGGGTGACCTGGGACACAAGGTCTCCCAGGCCTCTGGAATAGCAGGTCACACTTTAGGTTTTAGTGGAACTAAAACCATAAACTTGTATCAGCAAGAGCTGGGCTGTTCTGCTGATGTGCTGTTTAGATCTAAGTGTTCCAGGTGACTGCACCATCTCTGTTTCTGGGGGCTGTGCCTTCTCTCCACAGAACACAGCAGCCCCACACCAGCCATTCGGAGATGTTTCTGCTCCTGCTGGGTGGGTACACGTGCTGGGAGCCCCTTTTAGAACCACACACAAATGCAAGTTGGAAAAGACCTTTGGATATCTCCAGTCCCACCTTCAGCAGGGACCAATTTCAAAGTTTTATCAGGCTGTTCAGTGCCTTTTTCTACAAATTAATCCTCAGCAAGCTCATTTTCCACTCAGAAGTGTTGCAATTCCCAGGCTGGCAACAAATGCCTCGTAGTAAGGCCATTTCTTCCTTCCTGACAATCCAAGGATATGTTGGGAAAGACAGGGAAAATTACTGTACAGTACCTGGATGGGAGCAGCTGCTGCTGGGTCTCCATGAGCAGTAGTTTCCTCCTGACCCTGAACAGTGCAACAGGCAGTTCACAGTGATGGTGGTCTTGGTCTTCAGAGAAAAACAAACTGGCAAATCTATCCTTTTTTTTTTCCTGTCTCTGTTTTAGTTTATTAAGAGAAAGAGTAAATAATTGACAGGATAGGGAAAAGCCACGTTAGCCACTGTGTTTGATCTGGAAAGCAGAGACACTAAAGTGGATTCTGGCTTCTCAACATCTGCCCTGAGACAGTGTGGTGACCAGCTGGGGGGGCATTGGTGGATTGATCTGGAAAGATCTTCTGTCTTTTAAATTGCAATCTGTATGATTTCTGTGTGACAGGTACCTGCATTTCAACAACCTGGAAAGTCTGGAGCTGGAGACTTTTAGTGACCTGCCTAAACTTGAAAGGCTGTAAGTAAAGATGGGACATTTCTTGGGAGTAAGGGGGTGAGGAGAAGGGAGAAAACTCCTTCTTTTTGTGTAACAGTTTTGGTAGCATGAAGTGAGATCTTCCAAATGGAGGGAAATGCAAAAAGAAACTTCTTTAAAGAAGGAGATTTTACATACTTGCCAAGTAGATGGGTGACTGAGGACGTGAAGGGAATTTCCCCTTTTATGTTATGTTCAGGTTTCCGTCTAAACAGGGGTAAATCTGCAGAAAGCCCTAGAGCTGGCCAAGCCAAGTGAAATTTTACTCTGACCATAAGGTCAGCAACATTAGTCACTGTTGGGCAGAGTGTGCAAAAAAAAAAAAAAAGGGGATGGAAAAGGGATAAAGTCAGAAAAAAAATCTAACAAGAAAAACACGTATCCTTCTTGAAAGCAGTCGGGAAATGGAGTCCTGTGTCTCCTGCTCCCCAGGATTGCTTCTAGTAGTAATGTAGCCACTAGGACAACAGACCATGTGGTGTTCCTGCTCCATGGAGAAACCAGCAGACCCTTCTGTGCTGTGTGGAAATGTGCATTATATCCATACGTACCAGGGAAATAAAATCGTGGGATCCCGCACCCTTAGGAAAATTCAGACCTGGATCAGTGCATGGCTGATCTCAGACACTGTATTTGATCCAACAAAAATGCTGGATTTAAATTTTAAAGGAAGGTTTGTCAGCCTGGTTTTGTCAAGCAACCAGGCTGAACTTGGGTGCACACGTGTGTGTGTGCAGACATTTGCACTCAAGCTGTGCTGCTTTTGTGTTCTCTCCTGTTCTACCATCTCCAAAATTTGCTTCGTATCTTTTATGAATGGTCTCTTATTAGTTTTAGATGTAACCAACATAAGTAAATTTCCCCATCATTATGGGAATGGGAAGTTAATTATCCCATCTTGTTCCCCACTGATGCATTTTCATGCAATCAGGGTTTTTACCTAAGAACTGGGGAGTGCTGTCTGTGGGCTAAGACTCTAAAAATGAAAATTTTCCTCAGTTTTGTTCAGAGATAAGCCCAGCTTGGGCAGCTGTTCTCTGAATTAGATTTACTCATGAGTTTGGGTTAATAACAACACTGAGTCTAAGGCATGAGTTGTCTAACTTCTCCTGGAACCATCCTCCAGTGGCTGCCCTTGTAAAGTTGTCATGTCATCTGCAGGGGGGAAAGAAAAGGTCCCCCTGGAGCTGACCCAGGCACAGAACACAGAGGGTGCGTCTGGTCTGGGATTTCGTGCCCTTTCTCCTCCCTTTGCAGAGAAACTTTAAGGTTCCAGTTAAACCTGTTACATCACATCTTGAGTCACCATTTCCAGCCCACACCCGCTCTCCTCTTTGGCATATTGCATCGTACCCACAGACGGGTGAAATTCCTGCAGCTCATGGAAACAAACACGGAATGTAAAAACTGAGCTGCGGTTAAACCGAGTTCTGACCTGGGATGTTGTCACCCCCGTAGTGCAAATACTGGATAATGTTTTGGCTTGGCTTCTCCCATTTCAGATTCTTGCACAACAACAAGATTTCCAAGATTCATCCAGGGACATTCTCTCAACTGGAATCCCTCAAACGGCTGTAAGTAAAAAACATTGCCTGCGAAGAGCACTTGTTTATCTTCGATCAGATGGCCAGGACCTGAGGAAGAATGTGCCTGGCTGGCAAAGCTTTCAGTTGTTGCACTTCTAAGGCCACCGCTAAGTTTATGAAACAGTTTTGGTTGGACCTGAAAGCTTATTTAACCAGTTAGAAGTTTCTTTATCCTAGTGGCTAATTATAATCAGCTTACAGCTTAATAATGCCACAGGAATGAGCGTTCCTGGAAAGTCTTCACAACGGTTTGACCCCGTAAAACATCCTTGAAAAATATGGAAAGTGCAGGTCACGGATATGACCTCGATCATGTCTGTAGATCAGTATCTAACCTGGAAGGAAAAATCATAGTCGTAAAAGAAAAGGCTTGTTTTCTAGATTGAAAATAATCAGAGTGGTGCCAAGGTGCATGATTCTCCTTCCATGCAGGAATTCCCCAGTGTGTTATTCCCACATAACCTGGCTGTCTCGTAAGCTTACTTCTTTCTTGCTTAAACCCCCAGAGCTTTGCTTTGGTTTTATGATCTCTGGAAACAAATTCTATGATGTGTTTGGGGGAAAAAAATGCAAAAGGTAGAGAATTTTGGTGTCCTGCCATGATTTTCAAGTGCAATAAAATAATGTTTCTCACTGCAGCCCTCAGTGATTTCTGCAAGCAGGTAAAATGCTTCACTTCTCTTTAACAGGGAAAAACTTGTGAAATGCTGTCTGTAGGTGTCAGAGAAAAAGCTGGGATGTCTATAAAATGTTCTGTCATGGCCTTGTGTGAAATCTCACATTCTCAAATATGTGACCCTGAAAGCATTAGACCTTTCTTCCATGGTTTTGTTGTTTTTTGTTTTCTTTTTTGGATGGCTCAAACCCATTGATTGTAAAACTGTCAGTGGGGAAGGAAGCATGAACTAATCCCCCTGTAGTCCTTATTTATCCTTATGGATAGCGCTGCTCGTAGGAATGAGGTCAGTGGAGGGAAAGAGTGTGGGTGCACTGGGAGGTCACTGGAGCTCCATTCCACATGGTTCAGGCTTATGTTGCAGTAATAAAAGTTCTTATGGTTGTGCAGAAATGCTACAACCTCTCACAGCTGGTCACAGAAAGGGACTGACCTGGTGCACACAAAAAACAAGGGGGAGGTTTTGGGGGCTAAAAGAAAATGGAAAACTGTAACAGAGTCAGTGTTACCTGCTGTTCTTATAGAATTCAGTAAAGGCTGAAATTTCCAGGGGGAAACCCTAATATATCAGTGTCTTTCTTTGCCTCAAATTAGGCCAAAAATTCATAATCCAGTTTAAGTGAATTATTTTCATTTGAAACTGGAATTGGTAATGTTAGTTTTTCAATTAAATCCTTCTGCTTGGATAAGCATCCTATTTAACTGTCACAGGGATGAGATACCTCAAACTTTATTTGGGATATGATCAAATGCAGGGAAAAACAACCAGGTGCCCCCTTCACTCCCAAGGACTGTTCCCCTCCTGTGTCCTGGCCTCCAGGAGGTGGCTCAGCGGTCGGAGGCTGGGAAATGAGCTGCCCTTTTCCTCGACCCTTGCAGGCGGCTGGACTCCAACGCCTTGTTTTGTGACTGTGACTTGATGTGGTTGGCTGAGCTGCTGAAGAAATACGCCGAGCAGGGCAGCATCCAGACAGCTGCCACCTGTGAGGCTCCTCGGGACCTGCACGGCCGCTCCATCGTCACCTTGACCGCCCAGGAGTTCAACTGCGGTGAGCCAGGCCAGACCCCTCCACCGGCCACCCTCAGCCCATGGAGCTGGGCTCTGGTCTGGGAATTGCTTCCTCCACCCCTTTTCCTCCCTCTAGCGTCTGTCTTCTTCCTCCTTTACTGCTGAAATGGGAAAATCTCAGGGGGGTTGCTGAGTTGTTGGGATAACGCAGAGAAAGCTGACAGTCATGGGGGGGGTTTGAAGTCAGCTCTGTTTTGGCTGGCAGGTGTTGTCCTGGGTTTTTAGGTAGAGTAGGGATGGTAAAGGATCTGCTCCATCCATGGCTAAACCAGTAACCAGAGGAAATATCCCACATTAGGCTGAACAGAAGGGGAACACTGGGAGAGCTGCAGTTGGCTGGAAACACAACTGGAAACCTATGGGAGCACATGGTAGATATGTAGCTGAATGCTGTGTTTTACTTTGGTGTGGTGTATGGCACTTGTTAGGCTGTTATTCCTTAAATTTAGAATTTTGAATTAGGTTTTGTTCTGAAAAATTCCAAAGTTAAATATTTTATATAGAAAAAGACAAAACTCTGATTTTTAAGTGGAGGTTGGCACAATGTTGATTGTAATTCCCTGGTACTTCACTGCTGGTAGAATCAGTTTGAGAAGTTCCCACTCACTCAGGCTAGCCATGAAAATCCCTCCTGGATATGCCAGTCCAGCTGTGCTGTGTGTCAGATGTGTGAGCTCAGCTGGATTTAAAAGAGCTGTCCCTTGAATTCAGCTTTTCTCCTATGATTTCATTATTTTTTTCTGAAAAGTCTTGACCATTTCACAGCTTAATTTAGGGCACAGCCATGCAAAAAGTTGAATTGGCACAAGTGGTTCTGTGACCTCAAGGGAGCAGGGAATAGGAAGGGTCTAGGGAAAGCAGCTGGAGACACATGGAATGGGATCTGCTGTGAGTGGCTGTGCCACACAATAAGTGCCACAGTACAGCTGTTAGTGCAAATTTGTTCTGGTTTAGGCATGGGCTGACAGCGGGATGTCTGTCAAATTAGCCAGAGCACCTGGTGGGAAGATTTTGCTGGCACTGGGTTTTTGTGCTGGTGTTGTGCCAGCTGGGAAAGGCAAGTGATCCATAATTCAGCACAAAGCTCTAACGATGCAGGCAGCTGATATCTGAGTCAGTCCGAAATCTGCTGGCACCATTTGACCCTCAGCTGTGAGCAGATGTGAACCAGAGGGGTAAATCTGCACTGGGTCAGCACCTTGTACTCTGGGGCTGTGTTGGGCTTGGTCTGTGCTGCTGTTGCCTGTGGGGATCAGTTCATGAGCCACTGACTTGTGGTCTAAGGAGTAAGGACACTGACCTTCTGCTGGAGGAGGTGGCAGGTTCTCAATTTTAGGAATAATCCCTCTGGTTTCAGTGGATTGCTGGTAAGAATGTAGATTGTTAAATGGGTAAACATTCCCTGAATCAAGAACAAGCACTGCAGAGCTTGTACATAAATTCCTCCCTGTTTTAGCACATCCTTTCAATGTTTAACTCGCTTAGTACAACTTAAAGTGAAGCACACAGTGAAAGGCTTGGCTGGATAGGGCTGGTGAATTAGGGATGTAATGAATGAAATCCTGTTGGGAGGGAAGTGGTGTGGTTTGCAGGGAGCTGGCACTGTGTTCAGGTGGAGCAGGCAGTTGCTGAGAGCAGCAGGCTGCCAGGGACAGAAAAACAACCCAAATGAGGATGCCACTGACTTCTTTGCTTATTTTGGGAGATACAGGGGCCAACTCTTGGGGCAGCTATGATGAACCAGTGTACATCCAGATCTGGTTTTCTCAGTGCTGTCAGAGGTTCTAATACACTGCCCAAGAAACTGGGAATAGGAACAACCACTTTGATTCTCCAGGGCTTTTAGCAGGCTCAGATGAATGATGCTATTCCCTCATACATTTGGTGTTAGTGAGAAGTTTTGGGGTGGCTCTGAGTGGACACCGTTGTGCCTGGGGCTCTGCTGGTGCCTGTTTTGGGGCATTGCAGGATGGGTGTTGTGTGACCCACTCTGCCCTGCTTGGGTTGGAGGTGGTTTTGTGCTGCTCTGGACTGTGTTCTGTTCAAATGGTGTTTTGCAGAGAGGCCTCGAATAACCTCAGAACCCCACGATGTCGATGTCCTCTTGGGAAACACAGTTTATTTCACCTGCAGGGCAGAAGGAAATCCAAAGCCTGCGATTATTTGGCTGCACAACAAGTAAGTCTCACGCAATGAGCCCTGGGGTGGCAAAGGTTTTCAAGCACTGAGCTCTTCAGTGCCTGCCTGTAATTACAAAAGCTGTTTCACACTATGCTTAAAAAAAAAGAAAAGAAAGGAAAAGAAAAAAGAAATGGCTGTTCCATGGGTTGTATTTACCTTCCTTTTAATAGCATTCTCTGGTGACCACGTAATCCAAGTGATGTTTTCATCTGCACTTGAAATATTTCATCTGCATTTGTAATGGATTCCAAGAGCTTATAACTTTCCTATAAACATGCTCTGCAGGCTGAAAGCAATTGTCTTTTGATCAGGGAAAAAATAAAATTAGTGTTTCATGTTGCTCTAAGCCACCATGCTTGCCATTTGTTAACTGCTGAATTGCTTCTAGTCTCTAGGTTTTTCACACAAAGGCCAATCGTGCTGGAGAATGGGGGTTTTTTTTTGAAGAGAAAAATTTTTGTGCTGCACTGAAAGACAGAATTTGCAAATCAGTGTATAGGTTATCCTTCTGTACAGAAACGCTGAAAAAGTACATGGCTGTGCTAGATGCCAAAGTGTTCTGGGAAATGCTACACAATAAAATATTTTGTGCTCAAGCAGCTGCCCACTGTGGAAGTGAAGTTGCTTTGCTGTTTTACGAGCTTCTTGTCTGGTGGAGCCTGAGCAGGGCTCGGTTATTAATAAAAATGATCAATGTGTGCTTCTTCAGCAAACCCCCCACCAGGCAGAGTTTCAGCCCAGAGCAAAAGTTTATGGCTGAGTTAAGTCCCCCCGGGAAGGAAGGTTTTGTTAGGGAAATGCTGGCAGGCTCCCAAAGACAGCATTGTAAGAGGGGTAATGATAATAAATGTTCCACGAACAAGATATGACTGGAGTGAGGAGGCATCAGGGGAATTAAATAAATGCCCAGCAAGCATATTAGTTTGCATAGTGGGTTCAGCCTTTGTCCTAGGGGGACAAAGGTCCCTTCTCCCTTTTCAGTCATCTGCAGCCATCCAAGATTCCTTCGTGCTGGGACAAATGGGATGCAGCACTGGGACCTTCTGCCACGGGCTGGGATCCAGGAGTTGCAGGTTATTGCAGAAAGAAGGAAGATGTTTCACAACTCTCAGGCTGGGTTGGAGTCCAAGCTGAGTTGGGGTCCCCTGGTGACTTACTCAGAGCTTTTTGCTCCCTTGAGGCCTTTGAGCCTTGACTTTGAATAGAAGTGGCTGCACACAATAACAATATTAGTTCATTATAATGTTTGCACTTAGAAAGTAATGAGAACAGGCTTTCCAGGCAGAGATGCCCTGACAATAGCAGCAGTGCTGTGGCATGGGAACAGTGTGCTCTCCTGATGGGCTGTAAATGTCATATGTAATCAGTGGTGAGAGAAAAAGCAGCACACCCAGGGAGCAAATCAGAGCTGGAGCTGCAGTTCAGTGCTGTGAATCAGAACTCTTGCTGTAAATCTCATGAAGTCTCAGAATACCTCCAAGAAACACCAACTTACTGCAATGCAAGCAAAGCCCCTGCCCCTCCCAGCAGCTTGAGGGGGACCACCAGTGTTTACTCCTTCCAGATTTTGCCCGTTTGTGGCTGTTTTTCAGTAATAAGATTGACATGAAAGATGACAACCGCCTGAACCTGTTGCAAGATGGTACCTTGATGATCCAGAATACCAAGGAGTCGGATAAAGGCGTCTACCAGTGCATGGCCAAGAACATAGCTGGGGAGGTCAAGACACAAGAAGTTGTGCTGCGCTATTTTGGCACCCCATGTAAGGGAGCTTTGTGCACCCCTTGATGACCCAGCTCGGGTTGGGGATGGGAGTGGAGCTAAATCAGAGTTAGTCACAGCTTTGTATGTGCCAAGATGTTCTGAGGGAGAGAGTATCTAACAAAGCAATGACTTTGAGATTGGCCTGAGCTTAGGGGGGTTCCTTCACTGTGGTGGGGAAAGGGATTTAGGGATTGAAGGTGGCTTGGGACTGGGGAGGGAGTTTAAGTCTGGCAGGAATTCTGCAGCACAGAGTTATCAAGGGTGAAGGGGACATGAGAGAGGGGATGCTCCAGCACTAGGTGAGCGGGTGTGAGGAGGTGGTAGGAGGACTTAGTGCTGGGGGCATCGCTCACAGCGAGGATTTGGAGGTCAGGGAAGAGCCAGGTGACTGTTAGCTGGGTTGCATGAGGAGTCCAAGCAATTTCTGCCTGCAACCGAGCAGGCAGCAGAGCTGGTTTCTAAAGCACTCGTTTCCTTCCAGCCAAGCCCACTTTTGTGATCCAGCCTCAGAACACTGAAGTGCTGATTGGGGAAAGTGTCACCTTGGAGTGTGGAGTCTCTGGGCACCCCCACCCTCGCATCAGCTGGACCCTTGGCACAGGCTCTCCTTTGCCTCAGGATTCCCGTTTCACTATCACCAGCTCTGGAGGACTCTTCATTCAGAACGTCACCTTCTCGGATCAGGGGCAGTACAACTGCAATGCCACCAACTCCGAGGGCTCCATCCAGGCGACAGCAAGGATCATCGTGCAAGGTGAGGAGTCCCAGGCTGATTCTGTGACGTTCTGTGACATTTCTGGGGCACAGTGTTTGGTCAGCAGGGTGTATTTAAGCCCTGTGACTGGTTCTGCTCCCGTGAACTCCCCGAGTTTGCTGCCTGAGTGTGTCCTGCTGCTCAGTCGTTGCTTTCCCCTCCAGATTCTCCCAGGTTTCTCGTCATTCCTACTGATCAGACAGTAACTGAGGGACAAAGCGTGGATTTCCCCTGCTCTGCTGAGGGTCACCCTCCACCTGTGATTACCTGGACAAGGGCAGGTACTGCCTCACTTGACTCGTGGTTTCTCTCTCTCGTGCCATCATCCATGGGATGTGGGTGGGAGCAGCTGAGCTGACGGTCCAGGGTGGTGACTTGCAGTGGTGGCACGGGACAGATGGTTATCAGCACAGGGCTAGTCACACTGGGAGGTGTGTTATAGATCACCAAGGATGATGTTAAGCAGTGAGGAAATAGCCTCTTGTGCCTTTGACACACAGAATCAGAAGGAAGGAGTGTGCTGGTTTCCATCAGCATGAAACCCGTGGAAAGCCTCAAATTTCTTTCTGCAATGACTTCCTACCTCCTTTGAAAAGGCAAGGTCTGTGCACTCCAAGTCAGTGGGTGTCAGTCACAGAGTTGTTTGGGTTGGAAAAGACCTCTAGGGTCATCAAGTCCAACCATTAACCCAACACTGCCATGTTAACTGCTAAAAACCATGTTCCTACATGACACATCTACCTGTTTTTTTGAACACTTCCAAGGGTCATGATTCCACCACTTCCCTCAGCAGTATCACCATGTGCCAGCTCTCTGTCATTGCCATTGATTTGCTGCTCTTGGGGAGCACATTGCAGAAGAGCACCATTCACTGCTGACACACCTCGGAGTTTTCTTTTAGCTTAGGAAGAAGGACTTTGGGACAACAGGTGGTGAACTTTTAAAGTCTCAAATAATTGTTAGTGCTGGCTCCACTGAACTGATCTCATCCAACACTTTCTGGGACAGAAGCCAATAATACTTGGCCCAGAGGTACTCCAACTTTTCCTTATGCTTCACAAGCCATAATTAATGGTTTAGTGCTGTGGAGAATTCATGGGTGTTGTATTCCAGCTTCCACAGCAATGGCCCTGGTGCAGAGTTAAGAAGGACCAGCTGAAATTCTGCTCTGCCTGCATGTCCTCCATCTCCTTTAACCTGTTTTACTCCACTTCCCAGAAAATATATTTTAGAGATGTGGAAAGGAGCACAGTGACAAGAAGTAAGGTTGACAACTGCATTGGAACTAGGTTTGTACTCAGCAAGCCAAAAATTAAAAATCAACCAGGCTTTGCACTGCTTTCATGTGCTAAAAGTAAGACAAGAGAAGGACAAGTGATGGAGCATTGCTTGTCTCAAAGCCACTTTTGACTGTGTGGGGATTTTGGTATTTAGGATGAATAAATAAGAGCCCTTATTTGGAGGGGAAAAAAAATAAGTTGCCAAAGTGAGAAGTTTTAAGAATTTTGTTTGGGTTTGGTAAAGCAGTTTAGTTTTCAACTTTTCTTCTGAAATAGAGAAAATGTTGAAACAACAGTTTCCGAACTGAAGAAAATCACGATAACTAATTCAAAAAGACAATTCTAAATGTTTCTGTTTATTTGATGAAACAGCCAGTTTGGATAATTGAGCACTTATTTGCTGTCCATCAGGTATTACATAATCTGCAGGTTGCACTAAGAAAAGACTTAGGAGGAAAGAAAAAGGGTTCCAGCTCCTACCCAGCTGCTCAGACGAGAAAATTTGGTGTGATAAAGATGGCATTTCAGGGTGGCTGATGTTGGGAGGGAAACGAAATTTGTAACTATCATGCAGATCCCTCTAGTGTCGGGATGGGAAACGTCACAGAGACATTCACAGAGAATTAACAAACTGCTTGTTTGCCCAGGTGGGCCTTTGCCAAACGACCGGCGGCACAGCATCCTCTCCACGGGCACCCTGCGGGTGCTGAGGGTGGCTCTGCACGACCAGGGGCAGTTCGAGTGCCACGCCATCAGTGCCATCGGGGTCAGGACCCTCCCGGTGCAGCTCTCGGTCACCCCACGAGGTAAAAAAGGGCTGGCAAAAGTTCTGGTGAATAACGCACTGTCTGACCAGGCAGGGAATTGCCCTGTCTGCCGTGGGATGGGATTTTGCTTTTCCATGAGAGCTCCATCAGCTGGTGGGAAAAGTTAAGAGAGGTTTGCAGAGTGCCGAGGTTTGTGAATTGGAAGGAGCCGCTTCGGTCTGGGAGTTGTCAGGAAGAAAATTATTTTGGCAAAGGAAAACCGTATCATTTACAGAAAAGTGTATGAATTAAATTCTTACTCTTTTTTTTTTTGCCATTTTTAAGTTTTGTCTCTCCCATAGAAATAATTTTAAAATTCTTTTTAAAATAAAATAGTCTGCAAAACAAAATTATTCCTTCTCAGGAACGTTTAACTCTGGCTCCAGATACATTTGTCTTAAACATTACCTGCCAGGTCATAGGTTCAGCTTAAAGTTAGGTATTCTAAAATCAAGCCTCTGTAAAATACAAGCCACAGAGGAATATTTTTCCTTAATTAAGCTTAATTAAAGCTTAATTTTTTCTCCTTTTTTTTAAAGCTTTTGCTTAGTTTTCTTTTTGCTCCCATATAAATAATTGTTCTAAGTAAGCAAACTTTCCTATTTGTTCACAAACATAGTAGAATGTTACTGATGGCAGACTGGAGGGTAGGACACTATCTAGAAGCATGAAATCAGTGAAGCTTCAAGCACAAAATTCGCAGAATATTTTAAGACCAGCAAGATCAATATAATTATTTTATCTGTCCTGACTAACACTTCCAGAGAGCCTCATCTGATAGTGCCTGAATCAAGTCATGATCCCTGTTTCAGCTAGAGCATCCTTTCTGGAAAGGCTTTGAGTGAATGGTTATAAATGACTCAGCACATTCCTGTGTAATTGCCCCAAGTAGAGACTCAGAGGAGCAGAAAATAATGAACATCAATTACATAAATAAATGAACAGAGAGCTTGGTAGCAAGACAGAGAGCACAGGGTGAGCTGTCACCCCTCTGCAGAGTCCTTTCAAGAGCAGGAGGAGCCCAGCCCTGCTTTGCCTCTGCTGAAAGGTTTTACACTCAGATTTCTCTATTTTCTTTGGTGCATTTCTTGCCCTGGTGACTTCTTTCCCCTGTGTTGCACAGTGATACCCGTGTTCCTTCAGCCCCCCCAGGATGTGGTGGCAGAGACAGGCCAGGATGTTGCCATTACCTGTGCTGCCCAGGGAGACCCACGGCCCACCATAACCTGGGTCAAGGTATGTGGAGATTTCACGTGCTTGACGGTCACTGGGGAGCAGGGTGGCTCCTCTGGGAGGCATTTAACAACTCTCTCCTTCAACACCTTTCCACCTTCACTGGTTACATCAGTCTGTGGGATAAAGACTGACATTTCCTTGGAAGGCTTTCTGGTTTCGCTGGAAGAGCAATGCTAACATCTGGTGGCCACTTTTGTTCATCACATCCATCTCCGGGTTTGCTGAACAGGCTGAGGGCTGGGATGGGGGGGAGCTTTCCATCCACTGACACATTTTCTGTCTTTTGGTGGTGCAACAGGAGGGTATCCAGATCACAGAGAGTGGCAAGTTCCATATTGGCCAAGATGGGACCCTTTCCATTCAGGATCTTGGCGTGGCTGACCAGGGCAGATACGAATGCATAGCAAGGAACCCCTTTGGCTTCACCTCCAGTGCCATGCAGCTCACCATCACCGGTACGGCACCTCCGCTGCTCCTTCACAAACTTATCCTGATCTCCTCTAAGGGGGTGCTATGCTGTGTTGACATCTACACTTTGGACAGATAATTATACAAGAAATTGCTTCCTTAGCCTCTTTTCAGACAGGTCCCTTGGATCAGGGTTGCTCCATTGTCACAGCCCCCACACCTCCCGGCTGCCCCTTGCTGTTTTCTCAGCTGAGCTGCAGTTGCTCCCTGCAAAGCCAAAGGTGTTGTCTTAAACCTCCTCCTGCAAGCCCAGCTGACAGTGTATATGTAGTTACTGCCTCTGCTTGGAGGGAGAAACTAATTAAAAAATGTGCCAACTTGCTCACAAATCGTCATCTGACTGTAACCTCGTACACCGGGGCAGGGAGGAGCAGAACAACATTGTCACTGCAAATGCAGGGGTTTAAATACTTGGTCAGTCATAGAATCACAGAATCACAGAATCACAGAATCACAGAATCACAGAATCACAGAATCACAGAATTGTTGGGGTTGGAAAAGACCTCCAAGATCATCAAGTCCGACCTTTGACCAAATACCTTCAATGGGGATGGGAAAGAAGTGGCTGGTTTCAAGCTCCTGCCCCAGGCGTTAGGGAAGGTGCAATGGATAAGGAGGAGTGCACTGATTTTCTTGAACTTGGAAGAGCAATTAATATCCAAGTAAATTTAGGGTATTTTGTTCTTTCTTTCTGCTTTGGAAAGCCACGGACGTCGGTCGGAGCGGTGACACGTTTGTAGCCACGTCGCTGCGGGAGGCCATCAGCAGCGTGGACCACGCCATCAACTCCACACGCACCGAGCTCTTCAGCAAGTAAGTCTGTGAAGTGCCCTGATCTCAGACTTGAGGCGGAAAAGTGATAAAAAAAGTGACAAACGAAGCTTTCTCCAGCCTCCTTTTATCGTTGACAACCCGCAAATGAAAGCTGCGGTGTTGTTTCGAGTGTTGGAGGTTCGAGCTGCACCACGTGTAAGGTGGTGAGGATGTGACGGAGCTTCCCAACAGGCATTCGGGATTCTGGAAAAATGAGATGCACGAATATTATGCCTCTTATGTCACTTCTATCTGCGATGTACATTTTGTCAGCTGGGGCTGGTTCTGGAGATGGTGAATAGGAAAGAAAATAATCAGCCTAGTCATTTTATAAATGCAACTGACTTTGTGCAGGGTGAACAGAAATAATAATATAACAGTTCTAACCATTTCTTCAATAAAAAATGAATTCTCGAGTGAATGGCGATTCCCTCTTCTTCCACCCCAATATATGTTTTCCTTGAAAAGATGGATAGTTTCTATTAAGCCCCAAACCCTCTGGGTTTTAGCTGTTGAAAAGTGAAAAGTAAATTACTATCGCAGGAAAAAAACAGAGATGTTGAGGGAATTAAATATGTGCATTTTCCTGGGGAAAAATATCCTTTCTTTAATCATCTGCCATGTGCAGGCAAGTCACGTTGGTCTATGCACTAGTTTGGGGGCCAAGCACCAGACCAGACTTAGGGCCCGACTATTGCTGCCTGTAGAGTCTCATTGCCCCGAGCAGATTTGATTAATTTTAATGTTCCTGCATCACTTTTAATTCCTGGAAACAGACGTCCCAAGACACCCAATGACCTCCTGGCTCTCTTCCGCTACCCCCGGGACCCCTACACCATCGAGACAGCCAGGGCAGGGGAGATCTTTGAAAGGACCTTGCAGCTGATTCAGGAACACGTGCAGCAAGGGCTCATTGTGGATATGAACGTCACAGGTGGGAGAGATTTCATTTCCCTTCTTAATATTGTGCATAGGTTGAAGTGAAAACAATGACGTGTAAATATCCAGGAAGTTTAAAGGTGTACCAAAAATCCAGACAAATGTTGGGTATATCAAGAAATGTGTTTTCTGTGTTGCAATTCTTTTTACATCTCAGGGTTTTCCTAACAACTGGGAGGCTGATCTTGCATTCACCATACCAGCTTGATAGTCAGGAAACTGTTTCAGTTCCCCATTTCTGTAAAGGTTTCTTGGCTGGCTATGAAAGCCCCAATCTTTAAAAAATATTTATCCATCTAACTCATAAAGGAGTACCTTTGTGGGTCTGAAGTTCAGACCCACAGCAGCATGGTCCCAGATTTTCCTGCCCTCCACGTAGCAACAAGAAAATTACTGTGGATTCTGGGGTATTTGGGTGCTGTAACAGAGAAAGGGGGATATCACTCTTCTGTCTTTCTACTGCTTTGACCTCTTAGCTATAAACTCAGGTGCATTTCAGCCACTCAGGTTCTTTTTATCAAGGCAGGGTAGCAAGGAACAAAGCAATATAACACCAAAAATACTTCAGTAAAGTCCAAGCATCCACTTCCTCGATCTACAACAGACATTCCCGTACACTGCATGTTTCTACCTATACGTGTGAATCATCATGTAGCAGGCATGTGTGTTTGGGGCCTGTAAATATTTTTTCCTGCCTGGATGTATTCCAGAGTGCAAGGAGTCTCTTTCCAGGTGGCAGGTCTGGTCTGGGCTGGTTGGACTGCCAGCCTCTCCTCCTTATTGCTCTGTCAGCATCCCCACAGTGCAGCATTATTCAGCGCTTTCACACAGCGCAGCGCCCTGGCAGTCACCCATGGCTTCCTGCTGCTCGTCACGTAGAGTCTGGATGGGTGATGGAGCTCGTGGTGGCAGTAATAACCCAGAGAGCCATAAAATAAACCTAGAGTGGAGACCGAGACCACCCCCACAGTTTGCTCTGCCAGTCACAACATTTGTGATTTCCAGCTCTGTGCAGTTAATACCAAACTCTTTTCCCTTTCTATTTTTCTTTGTGGGCCTGACGTGCTTCCTCTGCTTTCCTTAAATTACGTTGCAACACCACACTCAGGGATCTGGCCTCCCTGTGCCCATCCTGACAGTCCCAGCAGTGGCTTTCACACGCAGAGCCCTTACATGGAATAGTGGGAACCAACAGGTGACAGCTGACCTGATGCTTTGCCTTTCCCATTGCAGGCTATCGCTACAATGACCTGGTGTCCCCTCACTACCTGAACATGATTGCCAACCTGTCGGGCTGCTCTGCCCACCGTCGCACGCCGAACTGCTCCGACATCTGCTTCCACAAGAAGTACAGGACCCACGACGGCTCTTGCAACAACCTCCAGCACCCAATGTGGGGTGCGTCTCTCACAGCCTTCCAGAGGCTCCTCAAACCTGCCTACCAGAACGGATTTAACCTTCCCCGAGGGTTTTCCTTGGCAGAAGATGCCAGGGATCTGCCCCTTCCTCTACCTCGCCTCGTCTCCACTGCCATGATCGGGACTGAGACCATCACCCCCGACGACCAGTTCACGCACATGCTCATGCAGTGGGGCCAGTTTCTGGACCACGACATGGACCAGACGGTGGCAGCCATCAGCATGTCCCGCTTCTCGGACGGAGCACCTTGCAGCGAGGTGTGCAGCAATGACCCGCCGTGCTTCTCCGTCATGGTCCCCGCCAACGACCCCCGCGTGAGGAACGGGCGCTGCATGTTCTTCGTGCGCTCGAGCCCGGTGTGCGGCAGCGGGATGACCTCCCTGCTGATGAACTCTGTCTATGCCAGAGAGCAGATCAACCACTTGACGTCTTACATCGATGCCTCCAACGTTTACGGCAGCACGGAGCAGGAGTCGCGGGAGCTGCGGGACCTGAGCAGCCAGAGCGGGCTGCTGAAGCGCGGGCAGGTTGTGCCCAGCTCGGGGAAGCATCTCCTTCCCTTTGCCGTGGGGCCGCCCACGGAGTGCATGAGAGATGAGAACGAGAGCCCCGTGCCGTGCTTCCTGGCAGGAGACCACCGTGCCAACGAGCAGCTGGGTCTCACGGCCATGCACACGCTGTGGTTCAGGGAGCACAACCGCGTCGCCACGGAGCTGGCCGCCCTCAATCCCCACTGGGACGGGGACCTCCTGTACCACGAGGCACGGAAGATTGTGGGTGCCCAGATGCAGCACATCACCTATGCCCAGTGGCTGCCCAAGGTCCTTGGGGAGGCGGGGATGAAGATGCTGGGTGAGTACAAAGGCTACAACCCCAATGTCAACGCGGGGATTCTCAACGCCTTTGCCACCGCTGCCTTCCGCTTCGGGCACACCTTGATCAACCCCATCCTGTACCGGCTGAACGAAACCTTCCAGCCCATCCAACAAGGCCACATCCCCCTGCACAAGGCCTTCTTCTCCCCTTTCAGGATCACGCAGGAGGGGGGGATTGACCCCCTCCTCCGTGGGCTGTTTGGGGTTCCTGGGAAAATGCGGGTCCCCTCTGAACTCCTCAACATGGAGCTGACAGAGAAACTCTTCTCCATGGCACACTCTGTCTCCCTGGACTTGGCTGCTATCAACATCCAGAGAGGGCGAGACCACGGCATCCCACCCTACAACGACTTCAGGGTCTTCTGCAACCTTTCATCTGCACAGGAATTTGAGGACCTCCGAAATGAGATAAAGAACTTGGAGATCAGAGAAAAGCTCAGGAGGTACTGTAGCTTGGATGTGGAAGCATCAAAATGACTGGAGATCAGTCAGTGAAAAGTTTTTGCTCCTCCCAGGACACCCATGGACTAACCTTCCCAGATATTGCCACCCACAGATGTTAAGATAGGGTAATAGCTATGATTTAACAATGGGGTAAGACAAATGAGGTCTCTCCAAGTGATCAGTCTGGTTCTGGGTGGAATGTTGTCAGGCACTGCTGTGGTGTAGTTTGGGAGCAGATTGAGCCTTGGAGCTATTTTCCAGTCAGACTAAACCGTGTCCTATCTGCCCTGGCTGCCTCTTTCCAAGGCAGGCCTTTATCCCATTGTCTTTCAGATAAAACCCTTATAAATATTGTCCAGATGAGTTCCTGGCATACAAATTCCTATGTTGGTATCAGATTTATATTACCTCCACTCTTTGATAGACTTTTAACTTTTTTTTTTTAATATCTGTTATCGTGCAGTTTATATGGAACTGCCAAAAATATTGACCTGTTTCCAGCGCTGATGGTGGAGGATCTTGTCCCTGGGACCAGAGTTGGACCAACACTGATGTGCCTGTTAACGACGCAGTTCAGAAGGCTGAGGGATGGAGACAGGTATTGACACTGGAGTCATCCCAAATTCTTTGGTATTCTGTGTCGGGGGTTTCGCTCCTTACAGGGAGAAGCAGAATCTGTAATTTTTTTATTATTTATTGTGCTGTGATATGAAGAACAGTCCAGTGCATTTGCAAAAGGACTTGTCACAGTTACTGTCAAGGTGTTCATTTGTGATTTAATGATTCTCATTCCACTGAGGAACACTGAGCATCATTGAGGATGTGTCCAATATCTCATGAAAATGCTAGCAAATGTCTGCAGGAGCTTCTTTTTAATTCCTGTTTGCTGTTTGTGTGAATGAGACACGTCTTTGCCTGGTCATGCACTTAGGGCAGGAGCACGGGGAGGTTTGTGGGTTCAGAAAAGGCCTTCTGTGTCTGCAGCCACCTGACACCAGAGCAGGAGCTTCTCTTGAGATGGGCTGTGCTGCAACACAGATGTCAGGGAACTCTTTTTCCTCTCTCAGCCTCCCTCCCTCCCTCCCTCCCTCCCTCTTCTCTGACTCCTGAGTCACGGTGTGATTGCAACCCACTGCAGATTTTGGTATGAGAATCCCGGAGTCTTCACGCCGGCGCAGCTCACTCAGATCAGACAGACGTCCCTTGCTCGTGTCATCTGTGACAACAGTGACCACATCCAGCAGCTGCAGAGGGATGTCTTCCGGGTGGCATCGTACCTGCAGGGCATGGTCAACTGTGAGGAGATCCCTGCCGTGGACCTCCGCTTGTGGCAGGACTGTTGTGAGGGTAAGGAGCAGGCTGTTCTAGCACCAGCTGACACGGGGGTTGCTCTGCGTGGCATTTGTCACACGCCATCAGCTGGTGTGAAATTGCAGCTGATCTCCTGCTACACCGGGAGAACCTTGTGTCAGCAAATGGGTGCAAATAGAATATAGGATAGAATAGGAATGGAATAGAGTAGAGTAGAATTAAAATGGAATGGAATAGAATGGAATAGAATGGAATAGAGTAGAGTAGAATTAAAATGGAATGGAATGGAATAGAATAAAAATAGAATAGAATAGAATAGAATAGAATAGAATAGAATAGAATAGAATAGAATAGAAT